TTAATTGTAAGTTTATAACTAAGAAAACCAATTTTAAGATGGACCTTTTTCTGTTGTTCCGTATTCAAATGATATCTTGGGTTAGCTTTCACAACAATATTATTCATATATCCAACTAATAAGTAGAACTCACAATGGGAAGATTATGAGAATTAGGCTTTGTTTGGTTTAGTTATTTTAAATACCTTTAGCTAATAAACAATATCTAATAGTGTTTGAATTGTACATAATAATAAATAATAACAATTGAATATCGACTATATTCAAAACAACTAAACCAAACAGAATATTACCTTCTTATTATATAATCTCTATTGAAAATCTATCTTAGCTAGCAGGTGAGTGAATCTCCTTAGTCCTTACCATCGAAACCAATTCTTTGAGATTATAATAAACTTCAATTTAAAATTTCTTTCAATAAAATTTTTTGGTCCTCAATTAATTCAAGAATTAAAAAGGGCAAGAAAAGAAAAGCCAAAGCAAGCAACCAGGAGGGGACCTGGCTAGAAGAAGAAGGAGAAGAAGAAGAAGAAGAAGAAGAAGAAGAAGAAGAAGAAGAAGAAGAAGAAGAAGAAGAAGAGGGGACCTGGCCCATTGTTAGGTGAAGCCATAAGGGAGCCCCCACATTCATTTGGGCTAAATGAGTCAAAAATCCAAACACCAAGATTTGTCAAACTTATAAACAATAAAATGCAATTTTTTTTTTTCCCCTTCATAGTTCACAGTTACATGTACGGTAACAACAATTAGCAAAACCGGCTGTCGATTTTAGATTTTATCATTTAGTATGCATGAGCATGATGCAATCAACTATACACCAACAGGGATCTGAATTATTATCAAACTATATCTCTGTTGACTCATTGTAGTTTGGTGATATTATCGTCACGATGTTAGTACAAACATGTGACGATTAATTTTTTTTTAGACAAATTTATGCGAAAGAAGGGTCATGCGGGACCCATTGAATTATGGCTCTTGTATTATTAATCCACTGATTCTCTGTGGAACTCATATCTTTTTCCACATCTAGCCCATTTATAGACCGAAGTCCAAGTAAGAGCCCATATCGTAATTGGTTGGACTTATTGCCCAATTCTCGAAGGTGAGGTGTTTTTTGCTTATTTATTGATAATGCTCGAAGGTGAGTTAGAACTTGCGAATTCTTAGTTTCCTTTTACAACTCGCATAGGTGTTTTATCTTTTTCCCAAGCAGGTAAGATTAAATTAATTAAGGAAAAAAATTTTAAGATAATTTTTTTATATCATCTTTTAATACAATTTAATATGTCATTTAAATAATTAATTGTTTTATTTATATGAAATTTATAATATTAAATGCATTCACTTATTTAATAATATGTAAAAGTTGTATTAAAAAATACACTATATCATTTGATAAAAAAAAGTAAATTAATCAAAAATTGTTAAATTCTCCAAACTAAACAACATTAATTATCATCTCATTATTCATCTTTGATGATTTATATTTTATAGTCTATTCAGTGAAACGCTGGACTCTCAAAATGATCTTTTGTTTTATTAAAAAAAATCATTAAATCGGTAACCCTTGGAAGGACCACGATAAAGGAAAAGCAGAAACGTGGTCCATATGTGACCATAAGATTACCCAATACAGACGTTGCGATGCCCTCTCACTGTCTCACAGACCCCAGAGAAATGGCATTCCTGATGAGAACCGAAAGAGGCATTCGTCGGAACAAAAGGCCAAATGGTTAAATGCGAATAGGCATTCAGGCCCATCTCCTACCGCAACTTGCACTACAGCACGACAGCACAGTTGGCTCTTCCGTACGAACAAAAAGAACTAAAAACGACACAGCTGTCCTCAACAGTTCAGCACAAAATTCAGAATGACTCAAAAACACTAAATAACAACGAAAGCGTATAAAAATTTATAATAAATAAGAAGAGGCATTTCTCTGCACTTTATTTTAGTAGTGCGTTGCTACAAAAAGAATTGAGGAACATAGCTGAGAAGCAGCGAAGTTTAGACAGGAGAAGCGGGAATTCCCAATTCCCCCTCAGAATTAATTTGGACTAATATAGAGAAAAAAAAAATTTACAAAGAGTTACTAACTAAATTACCTACTTCAGCATTTGCAGGAAGGACCTCCTGCCCAAGGCAGAAAAACACCCTGGCTTGGAGAACCCCAAGAATCAAGGTACGTGCAAAATGCCCCCCAGTTTGGGGCCTGCACAAAGAATGAAAGTCTGTCCCTACCCTTGGTTAATCTTCGCTGCTGCAGCTGCTCCTCCCAGAATCAATAGTTCAATTTCCAGTGTTGTTAGAGTCCCATCAGAGAAAATGAAGTGTTAGCAAAGTCAGGCTCTCCTGAGGCAGGCCAACCAGATATCTTGTCAGTTTCTGTAAAACCATCTGTGCTCTGACCCTTGACATGTTGGGCCTCTAAATTTAAGTTGCTTTCGCCCAGTCTCTATAGGAGGAGGTTCCCTCGTTGCCTTTCCAAACTCATCATAGAACCAATCACTCATGTGCTTCTCCTGGTGTCTACTCAACACGTTGTCATTGCCCCACTTCCTGTACTTAATAGAAATGGGAAGAGAACTTCCCTTACCAAACCCGTCTTTCACACTCTCTGAAGCATCTTTCCAGTTAGAAGCAGGATATCGGCGATTTGATTCATCAGTTCTGCAGCACTCTGATGGCATTGCTTGTTTCTCTTTAGGCTGGAGTTTCTTCAGTCGCTTGAGTCCCTGAAAGATGTGGCAAATGAGTACTTAATTCCAGCATCAAGGACTAAATGAAGCTTATTAAAAACAAGGAAAGCTGACGGTGTGACAAAATATTTACAAAACACAAGATAATAGACTGCTACATGTGAAGACTTGCATAGCTACCAGCAAGATTCTAAAAACTGATGTATTCATGGAGAAATGCAAGAACCACAGCTTTAAATTCCATAGGTGAAAGCCCCTCTAAAAGATGATTCGAGGATAAGCCAAATCAAAGTTTATTTCCTTTATTAAAGGCAAAGTCAGGTGATTAAATTAAAACACTTGAAATGGGAAACTCATTAGTAAGGAAAGAAGAATAGTTTATCAGAAAGCAGTAGTATGAATAATAATAATAATAATAATAATAACAAGAACAACAATTTTTATTATTAAAAAAAAGTGAATGGCTTGCAAAAATCTGAATTATAGTCATCCAACATAAGACGCACAAAAACCGTAAGGAAAACCAATAAATCATAATAAACAGCTGAAGGTTGCATATGCAAATTTACTGCAAACAATTTGTGAACAGACTAAACATCATGCAGAGAAGTTAAATGAAAATGGGCAAACTCATACCTGATGTGCAGAGTACTTCGAAGAAATTGCCTGATTCGTGGTTCTTCTTTCCACATTCAAAGAAGAACGGCGCTTAACCCTAAATATCTGTGAATCAGAATCATCACTGTCTTGATCCACTGTAGGCTTACAATTAGATTGATGAAGATTGCCCAACAGGGTATGCTGGTTATCCTCACATGAGACAGACAATAGAGAAGATTCAGGTGTGAAGCATGATACTGCTTCTGATGACATTTTAGTACCAGTGTCACCTAGATTGTCTATTCCTTCTACCTGCTTTGGAATGCATGGAAAACAGAGTTACAATTTAGTTGACTAGAAGGGCCAAACATTTTTCAGTAATAGTACATGAGAGCAGAAACAGCTCAAATAGCTCACGAGTAACAAGATAATGCAATCTGCAGCCAAAGATCCAGATCTTACAGTTTTTGGCACAGATCCAACTTGCTCTCTGAATGAACAGAAAGTTGACACAGAAAAAGAAGAGGAACCATCAGTCACTTCTGCATCTTTATACCACATAGGACAGATGTGTTCTTCTGATTGATCCACAGTCACCATGCCAACCTCATGATTCAAATCAAAGTCAATTTCACAATATGGAGAGTATCCATCCTCAACAGAAGTCTGAAATGTATTTGACAAAGGATATGAAAACAAGTCATCATCACATTTAGCTTGTTCAATTTTCCTGGATAAACCATCTTCCTGCTCAAATTTCTTGGCTGCAGCTTCCATCTCTACCACATCATCCCTCAAGAAGAGAGTGTGACTATCACCACATGAAAATTCAAGTGACTTGATATCTGCAAAATGAAATTGGAACCATTGTAAGCAGTGAGGAACTGAAGATTTGATATCAAACACACCCCTTAAAATCTACAGCAAGAGGTTGAGAAATGTTACCATGTCGCAAACAAACAGGATGCAAGTTACAGCTGCAGTTAATGAAAGCAACGTAACAGTCACGTTTGCACATGCTGCAGACAATAGTTCCATAACAATTTAGAGATATACCAGTGCATGCCCTTGATTTAATTATAGACCAACGGGCCCAATGCAAGAAACGCATCAGTTTCACAAAAGAAAGCTTAACACAAAGGTGGGAGACCAAGTCTGCAGATGAACAATCCAAATCTCCCAGTTCTATGCTTGAATAAAGAAGCATTGCTTCTTTGCAAAGAAGTTCTTCATGAGGAATGAGAGGCACTCTATTGACATGTGCATAACGCCAGCTTGCCACAGCCCCCGGAGGAAACCAATCACGAATTGCAAAGTTGACAGCTTCACCACAGTTGAAACCTGCAAGATTACAATGGAAAAGTACATTTTGTTATTTAACTTAAGAGGATGAGATATATTTTTGAACTAAAATCAATACTCATTTTTCCAACTATAGACCAGAACAGCTTAAAAATCAAGTGGCCCATACCATGACTGAATCCAGCATGATATGCACTGGGGAAGGTAATTATAAACTCTCCTGGATTCTGCACAGCCTTGTAAACAGGGACATCATGATCCAACAAAATATTGGGAGGAAACAAAGTCGTTTTCCCCAGAAGTACATCAAAAGCACCATCCTCGCCACCAGTTGATAGAATATCATGGGTGTACACATGTTCCTTAACCACCTTTTCAAATTTGAAGGCTGCCTGACCTGGAACACCATACCAAGTTTTTGATGCCCCACAATGATGATAATTAATACTGCCATTAAAAGGGTGGTGTCAACTAAAGAATACAAATAGACTTTTTATGATTATGAACATAAAAGGAAAATAATAATATTAACAATAAGAAGAAGAAGAAGAAGAAGTTATATATGATAATTTATACCTATACAAATAATGATCCTCCACATGCCAAGCAAACATACTAAAAAGCATACCAATGTAAAGCATGGGGTCAGTTACTCCCTGAAATAAATACAATGTAAATGATATGAGGACCATACAAGTTGAACGATTAATCATTTTTAACCAAGCATGGCCGAAATTAAAAAGAAGGAATCATGCTTTCATACCGGGATTGGTGTGTCAAGAAGACGCAAAATAGATTTTGACAACCTTGAAAGATTCTGCAACCAAGAAAAAAAAATTTTAAGGACTAATCCACACACAATCCAGAATACAAGCAAAGCCAGTCACAAAAAAAGTATCAAATTTAAATTCCTTTAATCCTGCATTATCTTTCTATCCAATAACCTCATAATAACTCCTGATTAATAAAATATTTCATCCAATTGAAGCTGCCTTAATTAGTTCGAAGAATAGCTGCCCCATTCTAAATTTGGCACCTTTTTCTTTCAGCCAAATAAAATAAATAGTAGTTATTTAATAGATTTCACGACTTGGATGTAATGAAAGGTATCAAGAATATTGAGATCCTTATTATCAGTATGATTTAACAAGATATCATAAACAAATTACCGTATCTATTAATACATAACAAGATGATGTCAAAAAGATGTCAATAAGTTACTATGCCACTACAAAAGGCATATTTCTGTCGTCTAACATTTTCACTCATAATAAATATTTCAGCAAACAAAGCTCTAAGAAAAAGAGATAAAAGTAGTAGTGAAATCAACACCTTCAAATTGCATTTGCTACTTCCAAGAGGATCACTTGGAGAAGAAGAAAAGGCACTACCATCAACATCGCACGCATATTCAACAGTTTCTGTCTTCCCACATGCAATTTCTTGCCAAAATTCTTTTTCCAAGTACTTGGCAGGAAGACAACCAGAACTATAATATCTACGGGCAAAAACCTTGTTGGCCATTTTCTCGAAATCACGAAATGTATAATTTCTGAAAAGTCAAGCTCAGACTCAAAACCAGAAAAAATACACAAGCCACATCACAAAATTAAATTTCACTTTAGTGAGAAAACTCACCTTCCACTCATGAAAAAGGTGACTTTGTCATCAGTATCCCACTCAGCAAGACGGAGTGGCTGTACTCTAGTTGTGAACTTAAATCCAGCTTTCTCCTTCGTTAATACTACCCCAGCAGGGACGGTAGCAATCACAGGGGATATTATCTTGCATATACCTGAGAATTTAACTTAGAATTTAAAATAGAAACAGTGAAGCCTAAATTTTAAATTTAAAAGTCATTTAATAAAATTGCCACCAAGACATGAAATAATGGTAGTAACCAACTGATGGACAACAAAATTGGGTAAAAGAGAAGAAGCACAATAGACCATTTTACGAACATAATTACAGCAATGTTTAAAATTAGATTTTTCTCAGCACAGGTATTCCGTTGATGCTTGAGTCTAAGAATCCCAGGGATTTTCATAGCTTAATGATGAAGGCTCCATTCCATATTAAAATAAGTTTAGGCAATTCTATAAAAGAGCCCCTAAATTTATAGTTCCGAAACCAGTTCATTCTTTGAAACATTAAATTTAATAGATGGAACAGCAAAGAGATCTCCTGGGAGAAGATGTTACCATATCTTGAAGCTTCTGGAGCTATCTTCTGCAAGTAAACCAGAGGATCCTCGAACTCTTCTTTAGTTGGGCAATATACAGGACACTCTGGAATTTTATCAATCCATTCCAGGTCACTAGTGTCAAACTTATCAACCTTGTGCTTTGGAAAGAAATCCTTTTGACTTGAAGCACTATTTGACTGAGAATATAGATCCACATTCCGATGTAGTATCGCACCACAAGATGCTGAAACTCGCAAAGCATCTCCTCCACTTCTGGCCATCATATTGGTGACAGCTGCAGTCTCAGAGACCATTTCTGATTTCATTCGTTGAAGCCGCTTACGCTTCAAAAACTCTAACCCTTTTCCAACCTTCTTGGACAAGCAGACCCTTCCTTCCACCTGCCACACAAAGGAAGAACATAAAATTCAGTAAATATGTACATAGGAATAGCAGCAGAAGAAAAAAATTCTTAAATCCCCTACAAACAGTGCTACTTGAATGCTACAGTTTTCTTTAGCATCAACATCCAATTTTTATAATGCAATTCATTCATCATGCATCAATATTCAATACATCTAATACACCTATAGATATCGTAGAAAGCATGTGATCTTCCTTTTGCCATGATGCATAAAATACCTCCAACAAATCCAAGGAATACTGATAATCTACTGTACATGATCAATCAAAGAACAAAAATATAATTAGTACACATCATTAGCATCTGCAGCAGCAGCACAAAGTCACAAACTGCGAACTTGAAAAAGCAAAGCTAAAATTACCTACTACTGATCTCGCTGACGGAAAATTTACACCTTACTCAAAAACCTCAATTAGCCTCATCCAACTCGTCAAAAAGTAATTAAGCCAAAAAAAAAGCTCCTTTAAAAGTGAATATACATACCAAAATGATCATAGAGTAGAATAAATTATACAAGAAACAGCATCGATCTAAAAACAGTACAATTTTTAAAACATCATCAAAAGACAAATCCAGAATTGACATAAATTAAACCAACCAAGAGCACCCAAACACATTAAATTCTCAAAGAATGGAAACTTTCCAAACAAAGAACTTAAGTGTCAGAATGAGGAATTTCTCCTTTTAGGCAGAGTAAAGGTCAAAAGGAAGTAGTAATTGCATCAAACATGTCAGAATGCAAGTCAAAAACGAGAAAATTTCTCTTCGAAAAATTTTCAACCAAAATTGACAGTACGGCAGACTGGACCGCTTAGCAATGACCAGATCGCCTCCTCCCTAATAATAATTATGATGAAATTAAATCAAATATCCAAAAATCATCCAAACATCTTGAAACGTTGTCAAAACCGAGCTTACCGCATAATTAATATTTTTTTAATCACACGCATCAATATTTGTGTTAATGGTATTAAGTAAATTAAATTTGGAAGAGCCTCTTCAATTTTAAAAATTAAATATTAAAAATTTTAGAAAAATGTAAAAATAATCTGCAGAAATGGAATGCGATAGAGGAGATAGGAGACGGTTACAGATTAAAACAATGCCTGAGATCCGTAGAACAAAAACAAACGAAATTGAATTGACGAATTTTGGCATGAAATCCGTGGAAAAATATTGAGAATGGGAAAACAAAAGCAAAGAAATTAAGCTAAGAATCAACATACCATCTCATTCCGCAATGGTTCTCTACACGCCTCCGTTTTCTTTCAATTCACCTCACCAAACAATCCAGCAAGAAGCCAAATCTAAAATACCGAACCCTAGATCACGATCTCTGCTACTTAAGATCAAACCACACCATCAAACTGCAGCAAAACTCGCTACATTCTCAAAACAAGCCACGTATTCCGCCGAACGGAGTCACGAAAGGAGATCCATGTCCAAGATACACGAAAATGCTCGAGATATCGACAGAAATTTGAGAATAGCAAATAGATTAGAGGTATTCCGGCCTATTAGAGACGCTCTCCGGAGAAAACAGAAACGGTTTCCTGGCGACAAATGGTGGTTTCCCGTCGACGATGGCGGTTTCCGGGCGGTAACGAAGAGAAAAAGAAGCGGTAAACAAAAAACAGAGGAATGGGGACAGAATAGAAAGAGAGGAGGGAAGAGGCTTAGAAAAGTGGAAAAGAAGTCTGATAGGATAATTTATAGTTTTATATTATTCTCCAAATCTTATTGCCTTAATGAGTTTTAATATTCTACATCTGA